TTGTTGGACTCTTTCCAGTATGTCCACATCTCTCTCACACTGCTGAGCTCAAAACTGGGCATAGGACTCCAGGTGTGGCCTCACCAGCACTGAATAAAGGTCACCTCCCTCAGCCTGCTGGCATTGCTTTGCCTAACGCAGCCCAGGATACCATCAGCCACCTTCTATGCTGCCAGCGCACATTGGTTCAACCTGGTGTCCTCCAGGACTCCCAGGTCCTTTTCTGCCAAGCTTCTGTCCAGCCACACAGCCCTCAGCACATACCAGTGCACAGGGCTGTTCCTCCCCAGGTACGGGACCTTGCACATCCCCTTGATGAACTTCACGAGTTTCCTGTGGGCCCGTTTCTCCAGCCTGTTGAGGCACCTCTGGATGGCGGCACAACCCTCCAGCGTATCAGCCACTCCTCCCAGATTTGTGTCATCACAAACTTGCTGCAGGTACACACTGTGTCCCATCATTCAGGTCATTCATGATGATATTGAACACAAATGGACCTGGTATTGACCCCTGGGGTACGCCACTAGTCACTGGCCTATTTTCCTCTTTTACAAAAGTTTTCTGGGCTCAGAAGTAGGAAGTCAATCCCCAGTCTGTAGCAATGCACACCACAGCAACAGAAATATTATCTTATACATAGGAATATTTATTTTTTTCCTTCTTAAAAATGTACAAAAAATAAAATAACTGTATTTACAGTTTATCAAACCCCTCTCCCAGATGCAACACTATTAAGTTACATGAGCTATTTTCTTAATATAAAAGCACACTATTTATACATAAAGTTCCTTGTTTGCCAGAAAGAGGGCTTGTCACAAACTTTGGCACAAACTTTCTTGTTTGTATCTTGTCTCAATTCATAGGAAATGGAAGAGCATATAAACATTTCATAAGCTTTACATTTTAAAAGTCATAAGACACTCCTTTCCAGTTTCATATCAATCAATATACATCATCTCTGACAGCTGGAGACTTCGGTTTTTAGTAATTGTTTGAATTAATTTACAACATTTAAACAATCCATAGGCTGAAAGAAGAAAATATGCAAGAAAGACACTTGATCTCTGAACCTCATTGACCAAAAACTTCATGAGAGGACACATGGGAAAAAAAAAGAAGTTCTTTTCTTTGTAGTTTACATTCAGTGGTAAAAATCCTCTAAGATTTCTTGGTGGGGATATCACCGTAAATCAGCAAAGCTTCACTGAAAGGATGCACTTTATTTTGGGGATATCAGCAACTGACTGTGCAGAAAGAAACTAAAATTTGAGATTTGGGGGTTTCATAATAAAGCATCAAACGGACGGACACAGTGCCAATCTGCAGTGGGAACCAAAATTAGAGCCTAGAAGACTGTTCACCTTTTGCACATCTCTATCAAAGCCTTTCAAAACACAACTTCTACAGACACTGCACTGCTCTAACTCTTCATAGGGAAAAAGAGTTGAGAAGCAAGCCACCCTTCAGGCCGGACTAGTTAAGATTCAAGACTGCTGTCTTGAAGAAGGAAAGGAAATGAGAGTTTTGTTCTTTAAACAACCACAGCAGTGCTACAAAGAGTCAAAAGGAGGCAAGGCAGATATTCCTGTCCCCTGCTGAATTTTTTAACAGTAGCCAAATCTTACTTCTTTTTAACTCCTAATATTTGGAAGATCCAGCATTAACCAATATTTTTCATTAAACAAAAGCAACATGTATACTTTAAACAATACACATGTGAGCACTTTGCACTCCTCAAGACCTTTGAATCAAGCAGGGCATGAGGCAGGCCACTGCTTCAGAAGTTTGCATTACTTGTACTGGCCCTTCCCCATCCCTTTGATAGCCTGATTTTGACCAACGAGGTGAACCTGGAGAGCCTGTAGCTCTCCACAACCAGCATCCAAGGTTCAGTACTCCTCCAGCAGCAGATGCTGCAACTGCAACTGAAGGGGTGCAGGGTGATGTGCTCTTTGTCATGCCTTAGGTGCTCGCGATGCACCTGCATCTGGAGCAGAGAAATAAAGCTGTCAGACCTGGCAGATAAAGTTAAGGGAGATTATCCTCAACTAGCTCCAGCTGCTGTTTTAAAACACTCTTACCATCAGGGTAAATCCTATTCATCTTCCTCAACCCTGCTACTTTCACTGAGATTGTAAGAAGCAACAAAAGGCACGAGTATCAGCTCCCTTGTATCAAGAATTCGCACACTTTTAAGGTGTATTTAGAAAAGCTTTCAGTTAATCTTGGAAGCAACTTTCCTTCCTTGGACAGTGCCTGACCAGGAGCTCCTAAAATGGCAATGGAAAGACAGCTCCTTAAGCCCCAGTACCTCCTGGAGACCTGCACTTCTCACTGATCCTACCCTGCTGTGGCACAGGGTGCTGCAGCATCCAACAGATCCCAGCTCACCTCCACCCGTAAGACAAGAATGTCCCATTGACCTGAGTGCTGGTGCTGCCAGGACAGCCCTGTCCTCCTCTGTGAGCCCCAAATTCTCACTGTCCTCTCTTTTAACGCAGCACATCCCAACATCCAAACCCTCTAAGTAAGAGGTTTGTTGGGGACAGAACCAGGGCTCAACTCCTGTGTACTTTTACTCCTGTGCTTCACCTGCAGCATCTGCCCATGACCAGCTGAAAGATCCCAGTTAATATCCTTCGGATCCCAAACACCATCAAACAACAGAGAAATATAAGAACGAACACGACTGCTCACCAGCCCTGTGCGCTGGTCCCAGTTCCTAATGCCGCCTGCCAAAACTGTGCTCTTTTTTTCTTTAGGAAAAGTGTATCCGTCCTAAGTCAGCCTAGACTTTACCTGAGCCAGCTAGAAACAAACTGAACCACCACAAATGCCCTGTATTCCCAGGATGTCTGCTCTTGAGCAGGGGAGAAAGAACATCTTTGCTGGAGTACATATTTATAAAAAGATAAGAGAATTACTACAAACTCTGCATCAAAAGGAGAACGCGCACAGGACAAAGGAAGAGGGAGCGATGAAGACAGAACAGACACTGCTTTGCAAATATAGGTGGATTCTGGGTATGTTAGCCCCAATGCTAACCTCCTGAACCTTTTATAGGTTCTAGTCCCACAGAAACTCTGACAGGTACCAAATATTCCTATCTGAAGTACAGATTTTAATGTGATGCTATTGCTAATGAAGTTAAGAAAGCATGAAGAGCTTGCAGGACAATTCATGCAAAAGCATGACCAATTCAGACTGGTCAGCCATCACAGCTACTTTGCTTGAATGTAAATAGCCCCACACAGCTCAAAACACTACAGAATGAGGCCTGTCAAACTAGGCAATGTTTCTTTATGCCATTAACCACCTAATAAAGAAAGATTCTGTGGCTAAATGAAAAAAAATATTTCAGAAGGAAAAAAAATAAAGAAACTCTAAAGGCTGCATGTAGGGAAGGACCCACATTTCTGTCCGTCATGTGGGATCTATACACAGCGCACAGAGAATAAAATGCTTGCAGCTAAAACTCACAGGACTGTGTGCTGAGTGTATCTCTACGATAGCCAAAGGAGGTGGACAAGAGACAGAGAGGTGCTGGGTTTGGATGCGCTAGGGACATTCAGGCCTTGAACCCCTTTCCTGGTATGATTTTAGCCTGCAACTTTCTCTCTTCACATAATTCATGAGACAGGAGTGGAATTTGATGGGATAATCTTGTAGTTGAACTTTGGTTCAGATCCAGCCCTTGTGAGGGAGACCTGTCTCCACACATCAGTTGTGGGATACTCAGTCTCCACTGGTAAAATTGTTCCCGTTTCGATAAAATATTTACATTAAGCCCAGGTTTATACCTCACCCAACTGTCCTAGGAATCAAAATAGAATCACTCAATGGAGACACAAGAGCAAGTACCCTTAAGAAGGGTTTGAAGTCCTGTCTCTTACAGTCTAGAGGAATGTTTTAATGAGCAGGCTGCTGTGGAAAGCATGTTTTCCTCCACAGGCTTGAGAAAAGCCCATTTTGAGAGCCTCTGCTTCATCAACAGAACAGGCAGAATCCCTTCTGTACCTCTAGGCACACCAGGCAGCAGACACACGGTGCCCCTTGGATTTGGTGACAGCTGGATGGGTCACGCAGGTATCTACAGCTGGAACCTGGGCACCTAAGGTGGGTCCCATTGTGCCAGAGCACTCCAGACCCTGTAGCATAGTTTGCTCCAACGTATCAGCATAAAACTGGGTGGGTAAGGGTGGAGCATATGAGTGCAGATGCAGGTATCGGCTTCTCAGTACACACTCCTTAACAGATCGTAGCAATCTAATTAATCCTCTAGGGAAGATTCTGTTAAACTCTAAACCCAACACATACAAAAACATAGTGGCAGTAAACATGTCCACATACAGTAGTTAAAATATATTATTGCATATTATAAACATTATGTACAAGGTTAAAATGGTTTCTTTACCATTTACTTACAAGTGACATTTGTAGCTGAATGCCTTACTTACAAGTCCTCGTTGCTACGTGCTGAGAACTACCAGAGGTATTTGGCAAGACTATACACTACAGAGATGTGGATCAGTCTGAGCAAATGAATTCTGTCAGCCACTTTCCCCATCTTTAGCACTGCACCAGTTTTTTAGCAATGACAGCGAGAACTACTGGTAAAGTGATTCACACCAGATTTCTGAAACTAGACCAGCATGGTTCCTTAACATGTTTTAGAATGAGCTTGTCCACACCAAAGCGTGGATTAAAATGCTGCATTTCACATTTGCAGTGGGTCATGTGGATACTAATCTGGGGGCTGGTAACTGCTTGTGCACTACAGAGTGGGGAACAATAAATAAGGGACCAGGTTACACGAGTGGCCTTGCACTTGACAAACCCAAGTCTATATGCAGCGGGTGCACATGTGCAGAATGGACAGTATTTTCAAAGCAGTCTTGTAACAGTTTCTCTGATCAATGTCTGTCAAGTTCCTGGGGAAACTTCTGCTTTCCAAAAAGGATGAAATGCTGTGGTTCCTTACAAAAAAGCTTTGCCTGAGGCTAGATCTCTGTGAGTGTGATCTTGAAGCCTTCAACCATGCTCTCCATGTGCAGGATGAATGTGTCCTCATTGGAGTAGTGCTCAATAATGTTGTCATCCATGTTTACCAAGATACTGGTGACAAAGGCAAAAATCAATATTTTAATGTACTGGGACACTGAAAGAGAATGCCATGCACTCCACCCACCGCAGGTGCTCACTTCGCTACAATGCAAAAACAGACTCCAGCACACGCCAGTACAGGGACAGTACCAGGAACCACCATCAAGATCTGCCCCACAGTGCCTGACAGCCTTCGGATTAGAGGCTGCTCCTTGCCAAAGTAGTCCAGGTAAGAGACATGCCAGCGCTGGGGTGTTAACCCACTTCAGCTGGCTACAAGGTGAGCTGCACTCCAGATCTCTGGCAGACCCAGCTAGCAGAGGTTTCCCACGCCTGGTGTCAGCTCCCCAGGTACCCCTCCGTGCTGCTCCTCGGCCACGCCACACGAGCTGCTGCACCTCTGTGGAGTGAGCTGCTAACACGGGGAAGCAGTGCAATTTGTGCTTTGTACACAGCTCACAGGCCTAGAACTCGGCTTCGATGTGAGAATATTGACAACAACTATTAGAAGTGTATATGAGTGTTTTCCTCACTCTTTACCGTAAAGCGTTTCTTCCAACGAACGTATCACTTGGGCACAGCATTACAAAGAAGCATCACATGAGAAGTTTCACCTGCCTTCTCCAAAGCTAAAGAAATCCCCAGACAAAACAATGCCCTAGGCTAGAGTTACAGCTGAAAATAAACTACTGATTTAAAATCATATCACTACAATATTGTGGTTATTTAGAAGTAAAAAAAGTTCAAGTGGAGAGTTTTAGATTTATGGCAAGCAGTAGGTTAGCTATTCTAAAATCACAGCTGTGATGCTCATGTCTAAATTCACTCAGCTGAAACCCCTGCAGCAAACGTTGCCTGCCTGCCTTTCAGATTCGGACAGTAGCCTGCTTCTTTTTAACACTGCAGGGAAACTCCACACCACATTCACAGCAAAGGCTGCACCTCTCCCATGCTAGCGTTTCCATGATGTTATTAAGCATATAGCCTACAAAACAGAATTTATCCAAACACATTTTCCAAACACAAACTCTGTTTCTTCACAGTAAGTCTATGAATACTGGCCAGACACAGACTGGAGATTCATGTTTCCTCCTCTGCCACCCCTTGTCGTCGTTATAGACATCAAGATTTCAAGGGTATGGGCATGTCTCCTAAAAGGGTTTACACTGTCCAGCATCATGAGGCCCCAAGCACAGTTGGAATCTCTGAGTACTTCCTGCAATAGCCCCTATTCAGTTAGTTTACTTACCCCTTTTTGCTCTTCTTATAAAGTTTTGCAATCTTTTCAACTGGCAGCCCATATTTCTCAGAGATCTGAAATCATAAAAATGAAAGAAATATCATTAAAGACTAATGAGAAATATGAAATTATCAGCTCTCACTTTACAAAAGGCATTAAAACACTATCTCTGCAAACTTTAACAGGATAGCTATACAGAAAAGTCACTCGCAACCCTACCATAGCTTCATTTAAGGATCAAGGAGGAATAATCCTAAACTCCTTGATCAAAAAACCCCAATCATTTCCATCCAGAAACTTGGAGACTACAGTTTTCACAGGGCGTGAGTCATCGAAACTGCCTCAGCACCTCCTACTGCTCTGCTCAAGGAGTCAACGCTCTGCCCAGCTTCAGATTTTGCCAGGGAATTTCAATCTGATCAGCTGCCTTTCTGCCATTTCTTATTCTGGTGTTCCGGGCTCGTGGAAGCAAAGGCTTCTTCCACCAGGCAGAAGACAGATGACTAGCAACACAATAGGAGCTGATGGATTGATAGATCCACAAAAAGAACGTGCACATTTCTATTTCTCAATGGCATTTCCAGGTTTGTTAAGCTAGCAGGACCCTCCATGGTACTTCTTTTGTCTGAAAAGTATCTTCAAGGTACTTTTCATTGTGGGAGGGCTGCACACATGCTACACATAGGATCAGGAAGCTTCTGTATTGTTGAGGAGGTGACTCAGTCTAGTTAGTAGGGTGGCAAGATGAGAACACTGTTTGGCTCACAAAACATCAACTGAGTGTACAGATAACAAGATCAGATGCCGCAGAGAAGTGTGTTAACAAGGTAAAGGACTTCTAAAATAAACCTCTTGCCAATTTCTCAAACAATAAAGCAGAAAATATAGCAAAACTTTTGAAGGAAGAACTACTTAGCTGACAAATTACCAACACTAACAAGCACTTCACTGGGATGCTTTGGCACTGCTTTGCAGCAGTATATTAGAAACCTCTTTGGACGTCCATTCTGCAGTGAGTCTGTGGTGTGCGCATGGAGATGGTGTCCCTGAGCCCTCCATCTGAGCCAGGTTTCCCTTCCAAATTGTGACATTTCTTTGAGGGATCAGGTCTCTCAGCTCGTACTTTAGAAGAGGATTGTCCCCAAAGGCAAAATAACAACAGAAAAATTACTTTTTGTCAGTGATTAATATTCTGTGCTACTCTACTGCCAACCTAAGTAGCTTTCCTGCTCTTCCCAGGTGAAATGCAGTTCCACCTAAATGGCTGACTATTTATCTTCTGCACTAGAGAACTGAAATGCACAACTAAAAATCCATTTAAAGACTGCCACCCATCAGTCACTGTAAAATCCTTTCTTTGTGTTTGTGTTCAGACTTCTGTTGAGAAAAAGTGATATTTTAGAGAAATAAATTAAAGCAATTATCACGGAATAGAAAACGGAAAGAAAGCAATGGATGAACTCAGCACCCAGGACAGATTCAAACAGCCACAGGTTGAACCCCAAGTATGGCTCCTGTCCAGAGAGCCAGGATTCTTGAAGAAAGGGAATTAATTAGCCTATACTTGCCTATGTCACCTATACTTGTATAATTGTCATCTTACCTAAGATACAATTTTGTACTTTTAAAAGTATGGAATAACTCCAAGATTTTGAAGAACCAATAAAGGTTCTTTCACACTGTAAACAGTTTCGTCTGACCACAGTGTACATCTGTGGTTAACAGAAAAGGGAGGATATAAATAAGGAGTAACTGATAAGGTACACCAGACCCATCCACTCCATAAGTTCTGCATCTGGCAGAGAACAAAATACAAATTAAGTTGTGGGTTGTATTTGCTACTTCAGCTTTACTTGCACCAGCATGTTTCACTACCCTTTTGGACATGGTGCTGGAGGTAGTGATGGCAGTCCTAGTTCCACGCTCTCACCTGCCATAGGGAAGGCCTAATTCAGCATCAAGTCTGTGCAAGCTCACGTGCTGCACAGCCACACGCTCCCTGCTGTGGGGAGCAATCCGCTTTGCACAGCTACGAGAAGACGGGCTTCACCCCATGTCATATCTCACACAAGCATCCTCACTATCGGACTATAAAACCAATCTTTTTCACTCTGAGCTCTATACATAACCTATGCAACAGGCTCTGTGTAGCCTACGGAAAAGCTATGTAACCACATGCACACAGTAGAAATGTATCCTAGAAAGAATTTCCATAACATACTCAGCGTATCTGGAGCAAGTTCAAGTCTTTGCTTGGAACATGGTAGAACAAGGGTGATTTGAACCCAGGGTTTGCCTTATCCCTGTGTGGGATGTCCTAACCTATTCCAGCTACTCTCCATCAGAGATGGGACAGGCCCCACCTAGCCTTTGTGAACACCTGACCCAGCCTACGCATGTAAATCCAAGGGAGGATCCATGGGCAGGACCCCTGGTAGAAAGAATCACCTACCTCTCACCAGAAGCACTTGGGTAGCTACCCACACCCTGCCCCTCACTCACAGCTACCCCTGTCTACCACCATCTTCACAAGTCTCTCTTCCTTCAACGCCTCATCCTGTGCTGCCCACGGGGAGCAGATGCCTGACCCGAGGCTGGAGACTCCTCTGGGGTACGGAGGTGCCAAGCTGTGAGGGCAAACCTGGACTGTTCTAGAGATGTTCTCAGAGAAACTTTCACATTCTCCTTTTATTCTTTCTCACCCTCTAGCTTTGCTTACCGTGAATAGAATGTCAGATAAGCAATCTGGTGCTGAGCTTTGGTATCTGTGGGTTTGTTGTACCCCTAAATATAAGCTTTCATCTAAAGCAATAATAAAAATGACTCCATTTCATCAGATGGTTGAAAAAATCCTTCATAGCACTCATCAGACAAAAACTGCAACCTGAAACTGCAGAAAATGTCATAACGGTGTCAACTGTGTGAACGTGAGGAAACAATATATCTTCCTCTCTGGGCTGGTAACTCTGAAGCCTAGTGACACTATAAAGATCAGTACTTGAACACACTTTTCACTGCCCCTATGCAAATAAACAAGCAGGGAAAAACATTCCTGTGCCGCGGAGGTTTAATAGCAGCTAATATACAGCATTCTGCACATTCCAGCACAAAACTTCCCTAGGATATTTGGGATACCTAACACTCATGCATTTCAAATGTTGTTCCAAGTGGTTTGGGACTCTGGGACACGACTTCGTACATGAGCTATGAGAGGTAGCGCTGAGAAAGCCTTGCCCATCACACTGCCTATGACAGGTGTAGGATTTATATAACATGCAGGGATTAGTGAGCTTTGTGAAAGACTTCCAACTGACTGAATAAGCACATTTCTCAGCAACCCCTCAGGATTCAACCAATTATACCAAACGCCGAGCTGTGGAAGCAAGGCTTGAAGTGGTGGTATGGGAGAACCTCCCCCTCACAGGCTGAGATAACAAGTCTCCAGTGCAAATGTGCTAAGTCCTGCTGCAGAACCTGAGAAAGCAGAGAGCTAGCATCTGCTAGGGCATCTCACTTAGCACCCTCTTCTGAAACATGTTTGTTGCCAATTCAGAAGGAACATCACCACTGCAAACTTCCATATAAAACAACAGGATTTCTTACCTGATCCCAAACAGGATACAATAAATTTTAAAAAGATATCTTTATTTGGAGGAATATTTTGTTTTATCATCTCCATTGCCCGTTTTTCACTCTTCTGAGCAGAGAATTCTTTCCTTCCCTTGGGATGCCTGAAGCAGGGGGACAGCCTTCAGAGTGGCATTGAAATAACAGTCTGGGTGTCCCTCTGGGCTGCAGTTCCCTGGCATAGCAAGTTTGTCTGCAGCACAAATCTGACTGCACACGTCACCAGAAATGTTTTCTCTGCTGGAGTCAGGAAGACAGAAAGGGAAACATCTGCGCTGGTCAAGGCACATAGGAAAACATCTTTGTCAATTTATTTCTACGGAATGGTCCAGTCTGTTGCCCTACATTGGTTGGAAGGACACATACATAGAAAGGTATCTAATAAACTTTGGTCTAAGCAAGCTCTATTGAGCTCAGCTGTTAGCTTTTAATTTTAGAAAGACTTTGGGAGATGCTTGAATTTCCCAATTTAGATCGCCTTCTGTAATTTGAATAAATACATGATTCTGCACAGTCTAAGACTCGAGTATCTACTCAGATGCACAGAGCTAACCTGACTTTCGTTCAGGCTTCCAGCAGGATTTAGAGCCGGCCAGTCACTACATATGTGTGATGCTTTGTGATGGGCAATTGTTTCACTATTGCCTGTTGATCAAGACTGACTACTGTAGGATGCAAACATCTTAAAAACCAAACATTTACATCACTTTCCTGAAACGTATTTGCCAGAAGAAAGAAATCTGAGAAGGAATCTAATTGTTCATTTGGAATGGAGGTATATAAGAGATTAAAATAAACATACTATCTGAGAAAACAGTATCATTAATCATCGAAAATTAGGAGAAAGCCACAGACTAGGAATAGTTATTAACAAAAAAAAAGTAAAATAAACAGAGAAGAAGGGTATGACTCAGGATCACTGGTGCTGTCTTTCAGCTCTGAGGCTCTATAATATTCAGAGCCTTAGTGTCTAAGTTCTTAGTATTGAGTTTAGCATTGACCATTTAGGATGTGCATAATTACAAAATTACATAATTTACTGAAACGACTGTAGAGACCGTATTTAAGAATACGCAGGTTGACAGCTTTTTGGCATTGATTTATCCACAATATCCTACCAAAGAGAATTAAAATTTTCTGAATGTGTTCCTTCCAGTGAACTGGGACATTTCACAATGGATCAAATTTCTCTTGTGCCAAAAACATGCCACTGAGTCAACAGCTGTGCTGACAGAGGTATGCAGAAACCTTTCCTGCTTCTGCACCAGCTTTGTTTTTATGTTAGACAGTGGCTGGAGAAAAGGCATGGAGAGGCACAGACTACTGGAGGTAAAATATTCATGTTAGCTTGAAGGGTTATAGAAGAAATATAACATACTCCTAACTTCCATGCGAAGACAAGATAAAATCATGTTAGAGCTTATAATGAATCAGACTGCAGCCTCTTCAAGTGAAACCTGGCTTTTATTATACATGTGTGTTCTGCCTAACAACTGAGCTGCAGTCACAGCTAACAAACAGTATCAGCAAAAGCACAGTTAGGACATCCTTAAAATGCAGCTGAGTCTCCTCAGAGATACCCTGATCTGAATAGGTGCTATAAACAACTTCACTAACCCACAAACCTTTTTTTGCCTTCTGCTACTGGCCAAATATTGATGAAATAACTCAAACTTTACTGCATTTGAAGTGTCTGGTACATGCACCAAGACACTGTGACTGTTTTATCAGAGTACGAATATACACAATTCTAGCACACAGCTGAGCTCTCTAAGGACGCTTTCATCCATTCCCATCTTGCAACTAAGGCTGGAAATCAACTCAGCATCCCACATGTCAATCTCACATTAGTCCCCCCACCGAAGCAGCGAGACACGTGGTTGCTTCTTAACTCTTCCCTCACCAAATTTCACACATCTACTAGCCATCAGCTCATATAAGCAGGATTCAATGTGAAAACAGCCACTCACAATAACAGCTAACAGGTAAGAAGCAAAAACTCAAGTCAAAGAAGCAGCAGAGAGGCAGGCTGATAGGTAGGTCACTCTGGGAGTGAGGGGTAGAGAAGGGATTTGAGACAGGAGGTGTGAAGGACTAGCCTGCATTGGCTCTGCAACTGCCTCTTATATGCTGGAACAGCAATTGCACAAAAGCCATATGAAATTCACACGGAAACAGTGCATTCTTGGGGCTCCTCTTCAAAAGATGGCTGTAAACACATCGATGAGCATTATAGGAGAAGATTCAGCAGTCTCTGAATCATCAGTTCAGAAAGAAGCATTTGAGAAAACGCAGACTGCATCTCTCTGCTTCCCTGACACTTGTTAATTACCACCACTCCTCAAGGCTCAGGTCTCCAATAATTCAGCTCTGTGACACTATTTAATCCCAGCAACCTGCTGACAGCACTGATTTCGGAACATGCCAGCATTTCAGAGGCATGCTCCAGAAAGCCTTTATGAAATGCTTTAAATGTATTTGAGAATAACTTCATGTTTTATCTCAATAATACATTGAAAGTCTCAAGATTTTCTTGCCAAAACAGACAAACAATGTGAGGACATCGGATACTTACTGCTTCCATTAGCCCCTTTACTGTGGGCGATTTCAGCATCAAAGCATCAAACACCTCATCTGTCTCCTTCCTCACATACAAAAGCACTGCAACAGGAAAAAAAAAGTCAAACTTGGAGCAGGTTCAGTCAATTGAACAGAGGAAACACCCCACACTAACTAGAAAAATAAATATTAATCCATGACAGATAAAATTTAGTGCTGAAGATGGTTTGCACTTAAAAAAAAAAATTACTGTCATATGATTGGTGATCTAAACATAGAAGAGACATCAAAGTTGCTTGGAAAACACAAAAAGAAAATTCGGCAAATTTAACATAAAGAATCTATACCTTCAAGAATTTAAATCTCCATTTACTGAAATAAGAGAAGCTAAAAAGCACTGGAGCCCTGTCCCTGGGTCATAGGACAAAACACACAAGCTAGGTCTGCCTAAACCTGTATCTCAGCTTGCGCTTCTCCATGCTTCCTCCGAAAAGCTGGGAACGAACATTCAGAAAAGACAAGTCTCTTTTGCCTTTAGCTGAGCCTTTGAGAGCAACAAAAAACAAAAAGGAAAAGAAATAGTTCATTCTGACATTACCACGTGGATGACTGCAAATGGGCCTGGCCAGTCTGAAAACAAACACTGGAAAGAATGAGTCCAAAGTCATCTGAGACTTTACAACGGGAGACGTTTGACAGCACAACTGGCAAGCAGGCATTTACCTGCACACCCACCCCTGCTCAGGCTCCCAAATGCCCTTTGTATTCCCCAAAACCTCCTCTTTCTCCCTCCGATGTCCTGCCAGCTCTTAGTGGTTCACAGGCGCAGTGCCCTGCCATCTCTAGCTCTTGTTCTCCCCTCTCTGACTTGTACAGGTAAAAGGAGGAGACTTGCTGTTACATGGCAAAAGCAAAACAGACATACAAAGCAAATAAGCATAAACACTACAGAAGTGGTTTAGGTGTTCTCTCACATGACTCTGATAAAGTAGCAGGCTAAATAAGATGTTCCACAATTGATTTTGTTCCCTAAACAAACCGCCATTTCAAATAGCAGTGCTGCACATTAGATACAAACACACATGCACTGTTAGGTATTTCAGGTTTGTGTGACAAACTACATTGGTAATCATCATCTTTTTTTTGATAGACAGAAAAAGATATCTTTTGAAACTGCTAATCCTTGTGGTCCAAAAGGTATCTTCACCAGGTAACACAACAGATGACTTGCAGATGAATCAACCGAGACGATGGTATTTTTTGTACAGAAGCGATTGTCTGGAAGCTAATTCTCAGGCTGAGATGGTAGCAGGGTGGACTCAGGCCCATTTGCCAAGAATTGTAGGTTTTGAAATGACTGAAAAAAAGATTTAAAGCATGGGCAGATCAGTCCCCTGTCTTGGTCTACAAACCTGACATGCAGGACAGTGGTGGTTTTTTGCATCTTTAGTTCAGAAGGATGACCACAAAACTGCTACCACGGGCACACAGAGCCACATCTTTTTTAGCTATGCTTTGGTAATTCCTTAGGTCTTGCCTGAGAGTGTCCTTTTAAAGGACTTAGAAGCTGAGATAACTTTGGGTCACAACCTAAATAACTATCAGAATATAAGAGAACAAACAAAATCCACATCAGTAGTTCAATTTTATTGGGTCTGACATGTTTATTTACATGAGCAAGCACTTGTTCAAAGTGCTAATTTTACCTGTACTAACACTTTCATTAATTCAATATTTCTTCTTTTCTGACTAGAGGGCTGTCCTGCAACTCCTGGCTTTTGAAATATCTGGACTTCTGCTGGCCTTAATAATTACAAATGTATCTGAAAGGAGCAAAAAAATCTCTCGGTCCGATGTTAAAGCTGGGGACATTACACAATCCAAGTGCTGAATTTTAAACCTCTCCATTGTGCCTGGTGTGTCGGGCAATGCTATGCTGAACGAGGGATCCATTACAAGGATAATGGGGAACTTGAATCACTATTACACACACAGAGAGCCCGGATTAGTAAACATACGGGGGGTAGGGGGGGGTGGGGGTGGTTTTTCTTCTTTCCCCTGACAGGTGTGAAAATCCCAGCTTTTATTCACAAGGGCACTTTTCCTTAAATGACTTCTGGTGACAGCCTTAAGAAGCCCCTGTCTCATCCCTGCCCTTCTGCTCTGTTACTCTGGCCCGTCTCACTGAATTTTCCCAGATGACAAACTCTCAAACAGCAGATGTGAGCGAAAAAAAGATCCTTTTTTCTGAGTTGTTCTTCAGCAGGTGGCTGCCCGCAGTAGGAGGCACAGCCAGAGCGGAGGGATGGGGGCTGCAAAGGCTCCACGGGCTCAGCAGCATCGCCACGGGATGCCAAGCCATGGCTGTGACGATGTGACACAACTCGTACATATGCCTTCTGATCCTACTGTCACTATGCTTGTGGCATCTAGATGGGCTCACTTTAATAGTACATACTGCAATATTTTGGGGGGGAGAAAATCCTGTACCAGGTAATGAGCTATTTTGGACTGAAATATAACAGAGAAATTCAAATTTGTCTGACCTCTACACTGACTGGCCTCAGTTCTTAGCCTTCTTTCAGCATTGAAACCCACAGTAGTTCCTAATGCTCTTTAGATGTTAAAAAGAATTGCAAAAGATGTGGGTGATAAATTTATCTTTACTTTCTTTAGAAATAGCCCTGATTCACAGAATTGCAGCGTGGCAACCAGCCTCTGCTGAAGGCAAGGGCGGTTGTTGCACCCAGGAGATGGTTGTTGCATCCAGGAGGTTTTTGGAAACCAGGCCACTGAACTGAGGATTTAAGTGTGAATGCAGAAGAACAATGTTGGATACATTTTAAAAGTGTTAACCTCATAAATGTTTATAAATATCTTAAGGATGGGTGTCAAGAGGATGGGGCCAGACTCTTTTCAGTGGTGCCCAGGGACAGGACAAGGGGCAATGGGCACAAACTGAAGCACAGGAAGTTCCAGCTGAACACGAGGAAGAACTTCTTCCCTCTGAGGGTGACGGAGCCCTGGCACAGGCTGCCCAGGGAGGTTGTGGAGTCTCCTTCTCTGGAGATATTCAAGACCCGCCTGGACAAGGTCCTGTGCAACCTGTTCTAGGTGACCCTGCTTCGGCAGGAGGGTTGGACCAGATGATCCCCAGAGGTCCCTTCCAATCCCAAACATTCTGTGATTCTTTAACAGCTTGGCTCTGCATTGGCAAATCTGCCAAAGCAGAATACAAGCAACAGACATGTGGCAAAAACAAAACTAAGGACATGATGGGACAGTAAGACTTGGGCCACTACGAAGGTCCGAGCCCAGGCATTACTGATGCTCCGACACGCTATAAGCAATGACTACAGTCTTTGTGAAGTGGTCTCTGGAAGGAGATGTGGCACAATTTGGTCAAGGAAAGGAGGGCTGGTGGCTGTGACCTGGCTTTCTTTTCCCACATTTGGAGTTTTCACTAACTGCCCAGGCACAAATTCCCTAGGTGACAGAGTGAATGCTGTCCTCCACAAGGATGGCTCACAAACCCCTGATCGTTATGAATCTAAAATGTTTCAGAGTAGTTTAATATGACTTTCCTGAGAGACAAAAGCTAGATAAAAATATTACTTTCTTCAAGATGAGAATTACAGGACTGGAAATCTCCCTGATCTGTAACACAGCTGCTGGATTTATAATTAATGGCAAACTCCCTATGAAATCTGAAAGGGAAAGTGATTTGAAAACTCTTATTGAGAACTCAAAACAGGAAAAGGCCACCAAGTCTAGCCAAGTAACTAGCTGCACTGCACACTCGGTACAGATTAACATACTTTATTCTGTTTTGGGCACTTGTATTTCCCTTAGAGGTCAAGGAGGTGAAAGAATAACTCACAAAGATGCAGCTACCTGTGTGAGAATATGAACCTTGTTTTACCAATGGTTTGCAAACCCCTTCAGACCTTTTCTCCTGAAGGCTGTGCCTTAATACTTTTGCTTCCACCAGACAGTACTACAATTAGGTCCATCAAGCAGAAGCGAGGCCACAAACTGTCACTTCAGTTCTTCTAGCTGGGCTTGGACCACTTGCTGGGTGCTACTTACCTGCATTGCTCTGATAATGAGCCACCTTGCGATTACACTACTTTTAATTATTTTCATCTATCAGACCTGCTCTCTCTCAAACCTTACATCAGTGTGCCATCTATATCTGCTCTCTAGGAGTTAGTGATCCTGCTGCACCAAACAAATCTAGGAGAAAAAAGGCTTCTAAGCACGGCTAAGCCTGGGAAAAACAGCAGAATATTGTAGCACCCGGTGACTCCTGTGGCAACGACAGTGTTGTCAAATGGTCAGATTCAGCTGAGCCAGGCTCCATCAGCACAACCCCAGATACAGGGTTCCCGATGGCAGGAAGCTCACCAGAGCCAAGCCCGTGCTGGATGCTGCCTGGCCTCCAGCCAGCAGAGTCCACATTGCAAGAAACACTGAACAGGAAGGGGGTGTGCAGGGAGCATCCTCCAGCTTCTCTGGTTTCATGCCTCTCGCGGATTTAATTATTTAACATAGTTTTGCCACCAGTTGAAAAGCATTTTTTTTTTCTTTCAAGTCTTCCCATTAAAATGGTTGAAAGTCCTGGATGATATTAAAACAACCTACCACAGCAAAGGACAGGAATAATCAAAGCAAACCAATACCTCCTTGCAGGCAACTCTCCAGCCTTCCAGCTGGGAAATCCAGGTGAGATTGCAGCAAATGACTGTTCTTTATGCAACCCTTGTGGCTGTCCCCTTCTGCTTGATGAAGCCCAGATAATGTGAATTTGGTCAAGGTCTTGAGTCAACCAGATGCAAGTCAGTGCTGACCACGCATAATTAATTGAAGATTAAATTTAAAGAATATGTTCACATTTATTCCAGAAAGATATCAGTGTCCATCCTGTAATCTTGTATGCTTCCCCTGGTTCAAGCACACCACTCTAACCAGAGAAACTCTGTAACTGCAGGCTTATGGAAAGTTGTTTGTATAAACCTCAAATGAGTCTTACAAATGGTGCGACTAAGAACAATTCAGCTCACTTCTGTACTTTGTTGCTTTGTTGTCTCACAAACTGATGGGTGAACCTCAAAACATTTGCAAGTTTGAGTCATATAAGTTGGTCAAATCCCCGGAGCTTCCAATAAACAGAACTCATGAGCCTGACGGAATGGCAAATATTCTCCAGGGTGTCTAACTGTTGCAGCATAGGAAGTTAACACCTACAGCACTGCACTGGAAGTGACTGTACACAATGCAGGTTTTGTGGACAAAACCAACATCTGCTCATCTTTACTTTCAGTGGAAAGTTTAACAGCTCTCCCTAAACCATTGCTTCAACGTCACTCAACTTAAGCTTCACTGTAGCAGACTGGAAAACAGGATTTGGACTGGCATAGCATATGAAACGTGACTGTAATAATATTCACTCAGGGCATTAAAAACAGCTAAGAGAAACAAATTCTTAAACAACTCAGTTAGGCCTGCTGGAAGATGTCTCTCCATGCCTTATATTTCTGATTGGGTAGGAAATTTCTGAGATTTTATTCAGGCTAATCTATGTTTGCAGCCAGCAGGAGCTTGCCTGTCTAAGGTCTCTGTATTTGACCCAGTGGATCTTGCATATTTGCTGGTGATCCCAATCAGACAGAAAAGATGAGCAAGAGTTAAAAATAGACAACCACAGATTTGCTACTGTAACATTTATGAACTATGTAGCTTGGCCAAGGATCAAGAAGTTTTCTAGCTTTTTTATAATTTATATACACTTGTGTTCTGAATCCTTCTTGAGATAGCACAAATTTTTTTTTCTTTTCTAGTTTTAAGTCATTACTAGCATTTGTTAAAATGCCTCTTTGCACACTGGCAGGGGTAATGATCTCTTCTCCCATCTAGCCCATATTTGCACTAGCATCAAACAACTGAATTGGTCCGAGCCACATCTCCCTTCCCAGCTTGAAGGCATGAGTCCCACCACACTATTTTTAACTGCTAAGAATTGACTGTTACCTCTTTTCAGGCCTTCTTCTTTCATTTGTTTCAAAGGGGATGGACCAAACTCCTCCTCCACAGGCCGGAACATCCTTTTGACCAGGACACTGCTACTAGAAAACACACAACAGGGACCATGTCACAGTAAAACTGTGCTCCCAGGAGGAGAGGAGATGACAGCAGCAGCAGTCATGACTCACTTTGTACGCTGGCAAACACCCCACTAGCTACTCAAGTAGCACCAGACCAGAAACTGCAAGGATTTAGCTTTTGATGCTTATCTGAACTCTCCAGGCCTCTCAAATTGCCCAGACTGACTGGCTGGGACAGGTGATGGGAAAATACGCTCAAATGTTACACACTAGTTTGAAAACTCCAGAGGCCCTTAACTGTTTAAATATTGTGGGAAGGGGAGTGGGGAGGAAGAAACAGATAAGTAAGGAGCTGAACCCACATTTACACACTGATTCACCTCCTCTTTGGGGTCAAGGAGACAGCCTCAGGAAACGCCAGCAATATTTCTAAAATCCGAGACCATACAAGCCAGCAAGTTCAAAGGAAACAACATGCTGGGCCAGATCCAGCCCAAAGCTGCGACACGGTCCACCGGGGAAGCCGAGGGCTGAAGGCACCACAGCCACCGCCTCCCCTTGGCATAGCTTTGGCAGGACTCTGTGTCTCCTTCTAGTCTTGGAGGGGAGAACTGAAGCCAATGTGCTTGGTGCAATAAATGCCTTTGTTTCTCAAATTCCACCATGAGCTTTATGAAGAACATTAGCTTCATAAAAGAAATAGAAAGGGTCCTGTGTTTTCAAGTCAATGTTGGCTGCAGGTGCCTAGCCATTCCCTACCACAGGCCACTTTTCGCAGACTTACACAAGTGCAGTTGTCTTACTCCAGACTCGCAGATCTGAGGGTGCTCACCTGGGATTCAAGCAACTTATAAAAGTATGGGGCTTGCACATTTTACAGTTAATACTGGCTGAACTTCAGCCACACATATTAAAGCCCTTATCTCATGACATCTCTAACCACTTTAGGGACTCTCTGCAATTCTTCCAGTCCTTCCAAAGCCAGATGGGGGATGTTCCCATTCCCAATTTTCCCCCTTCCCAAGATCTCCCGTTCTTCTTCTGCCTTTCTCTTCTGGCACTTGGGCATTCTCTCTACAGCTCCTGTATTTGTCACATACACACATGTGCACTGCTAAACAGCTTTCAGGAATACAGTAAAGTTCAGCACTTCATTAAAAAATTCCTGTGTTTTAAATTATCTGAGAACCCTAATATGTATATAAAATGCACTTGATTATCAAACCTTTTGTCCTGTCCCTGTATTGAACCTTATGGCTCTTGAAACTGTTTTATTTGGAAATTTAATAAAAAAATAGACATAAAAAGCAGACAGTTCACACGCAGGAAAAGAAAGTTACCATAAAATAAACCATGCTCTACCAGTGTTATGTAGTCTTCATCTACTGTTAGCAATGGAAGAACACGAGGGAAGGGGGAGAGAGAGGATCAGTTTTATCTGATCTCGTGTTTTGTGCCTGCTTTCTATCAATTTGAACTGCTAACTGCAAAGCTTGTGAAACAATAAATATCTTACCCTTCTCTCTCATCATCTGTATTATAGTAAACCTAGAAGAGTGGAAAAAAACCAATTATTCCAAAAACTTAGACACCTGCTTAACACAGTAACTTCAAAAGAGAGAAAAGATAACAAGTGGTTTGCAGTTTTTCATCCGTTAAAAATCCTTTTCCTTCTATAAAACACAAACATCTCTAGTTCTAATTGTGATCTTGAAAAAGCGTGGCTTAGAAAAACTGCTGTTGAATCATCTAGTGGAGATGTACCAAAGCATTTTGACAGACACCACCCTGTCCTCTAGTTTATATCATTTTCCCAATTATTTTACAGTCCCCTAAATCAGATCACTACTGACCTAAATTACCCCTAATACGATTTAAGCCACAACACTCACAAACTTTTGTACGTATTTAATACTGTCTGAAAATTGAATTAAACTATAAAGACCAACATTAAACTACAGATCTAATGGAAATACAATTACTAACGGTACAGCTGAACCTCTCTGCACAGGCTGTGGGCAGAAGCTTTAAGTATAGACAGTTGTTTTGTGTAAATCAGTATAGCTTACAGTCACTAGGACCAAACTTACAACAGCAGCAAACACGGCTAAGAGGAGCAGGGGAGGTATAAAATCACAGCCTGTTGTCACAGGCTTTACAGAACAGTCAGTCAAATTCCTCACAATGTGCCTGCACCGCGGGTCCACACCAACAAGCGTACCAGCATTCCAGCTGCTGAGTTATCGTGCAAGCACGAGGCGAAGGCAGGGCACCAGAGCCCTGTGTTCTGCTGGGGCAGGGCAAAGCATCTCGGGCAGGCTTCCAGCACTGGTGCTGGCAAGACTCAGCACACTCGGCTCTCAAGGGGAGCCTTCACTTCTGAACCTCTACAATGAAAATAGCTCAGAGGTTGTGTGCAAAGCTGAGGTCTGTAACTCATTCTATGACCAGGACCTGAAAGTAGCTACACTTTCATAATAAAACATTCATAAATAATAAATGTCATACTAAATAATTTTTGTCTTACACAAAACAACTGAAAAGTTCAGGATACCAAGAATGCCACTACTGCAACTTATACAGCAGTAAAAGTCCAGGCTGAACATTGCCTAAGAGCTAGCAACCTAGGTTATCTCCCAGTTAGTTTAGAAAATTATTTACAGGATTACATACACTAAGGAATGCTTCCACCTTCTCCTGTTTTGAGACAAATCCACATTCTGGTCTGAAAGCCACGAGGACAGAAGGTACCCAGCACTGATATGTGAGTGGGCGTCTTTCCAGTTTTGGAGAATAAGTCAGTGACAGCTGTGATTGCAATGTCTGTGCTCTTTGTGCTTTGCTCTATCACATTTCTCACTGCTTTAAAATAAATGACAATTCCAACACTCAGTGTCATTTAATCTTCCTTATTTTAATATTTTGCAGCAAGATGCATATAAAATTTCCTCATCTACTATTTGTCTTTGAAAACACATGCACAAAGGTCTCATTCTACTCTCTGAGATGTTAATAACAGCTTCATATTAAAAAAATTCTCAGAGCTGACCCTCTAATTCAGGTTTGCAATTTCCCAGCAAGCAAAAAGTCTTAAAAGAGTGAAATCAGCAAAGACTTCCTCACACTTGCTGATGGTAATGACTTCATGACTTCTGTGCTAAGACAATACTGAATATTAACATTACCATGATAGATTTTTACTCTGTCGAGTGAAAAATATTTTCTTCCAAGGAATTCCCAGATCTCTAAGTGATACCAACAGAAAATGGGCAGTGGTGTTTAGCAAGCCTACTCTTGACCTCCTTACACACAAGAGCTTGGTCTTTGCTTTCCATTGTCACAGGGAGCAGGACCTCTGCTACCACAAGGTGGCCCTTCATTTCATCAAGCCAATTAGCACGTTCAAAAACAGACTTTCTTTCAGTCACAAATCAACCTTCTACTACAAAATTCTTGATTATTTGTTCCATTCTTTCTTCCTAACGAAAGAATGTCACACTAGTCACTTGTTAATGAAGCAGAGGCTCCTTTTTCATACCCAGAACTCAGAAAGGCACTTGTCTCTTGTACAGTCTTTTCTAAGTGACTCACCACGATCTGCATTTACCAAAATGAGAGCTGAAACCAATGGCCCCCAGGAACAGAAACCTGCCTCAGAGCACACGTAGCCAGATGGCAGGTGGGCACCGGCTCATCTTATTATCATTTCCTACCTGTCCAGTTCTTTGTAGGTTTCCAAAGTGAACATCCGGTATGAAGAGAACTGGCTGGGAATCCAGGTCAACCATTGTTTTGAAGAAGGTGATATCGCTCTTTTTTTGCAGAGGGAGTGCACTCAACTTCCCTTCAGCTGCTAGGAGGATCACAAAGCAATGTGGTTATGAGAGGAAGCATGTTAAGCGTGACTTAGCCCCAAACCAGAAAGGCCCGTCCTACTCACAGTTATTACACGAGGCTTGGGACGCCTGGCCTTTGCCTTTCTTCCTGTTCTGCTTCCTCTCTTCATCTCGGATTTTCCTTTCTGCTCCCTGATGCAAAAAAAAGACAACCCACAGATATTATCCAAAGAGGCCACTGTAAGCATCATACTCCACGATGCCTGGAACTACAGCGAAGCACACATCAGAAATGCTGCAACAGAGACTGGTTATCTCATTACAGATAAATCTGTCCAGGCTGCTGGGAACGCACCAGCTCCAGATCGATCACCTGTGCCTGAAACTCAGGCTGGCACATCCAGCAGCCCTCAGGGCTGGAGACAGCAAGAGGAACGTATCCGCACACTGGCTTGGAGGAGACGGGGTGGACGGCTCAGGCAGTGTGCAGTCTGTAGCGGGGCTGCTGCCACCACAACGTGCGCAAAGGGTATCCCGAGCCCAGCGCCTCTGTGACGGACGGAGTGCTCAGGCCAAATACTTCACATAGGTACTGACGTAAAACACCTGCAGGGCTGCTATCATCTTAGCTCTTGTCCATGCTAAGCTCTTCCCTAAACTCTCCTCTGCCCACCTTGTCTGGGGGTGGCATCACCCCACGGCAGCCAGGTTTGTAGGGGCCTTTGAGATATGCCAGTGCAAGAAGGCTACACTGACAGCTTGCCAACAGTGCTCTTACAGAAAAATACAGGCATTTCGAACAGGGAGAAGCCCTCCAGAAACTGGAAGGCAGTGTAGCACTGCCCTATCAGGCCCCAGGAACTCCTGGGAAGTTGCAGGCTTCTGTTATGTGAATACAATCTCAACAAGTTTAGAAAATAAAACTTGTTATTGACATAAAAAGCAGCAACATCTCCTTTGAAGTTCTCCTAATTTACTTTAGAAATATGAATAGTCATGTTGTGAAGGATATTAAAGATCCATATGCTCTCAGATAGTCAGCATGCAAATTAAAGATTTTTTCCAAATTAAAATTAGAAGTTTCTTTAAATGAAAGGGGGGAGGGGGAAGGAGGTAAGGAAAGCCAAAAATAACCACTCAAGATGGCAAAATTCACACATGAGCCAATGAACTAAGCTTGAAAAGAACGCAAGGAAAGACACACTCCTGGCTGGGATCTATCAATAGATTTCCAGAGGATAAAAGAGGTGAAGAAAGAAACAGCTCCTCAAAAAACATGAAGGCATCTAACAGAAGCATTGCCTCCAGACTCAGGTCCTAATCCAGTCATTGCTGACCTCAGCCACAAAGGATTCACAGTCCTGCCCTTTTCAGAATTGTTTCTAGGGGTACATTCATATCTTTAAATGCCACCTGCTCTTTGGCAGAAAGGAGTAAAAATACCCCGCGCAGCCACTGTCCCGCAGCAGGCAGCTCCCCGTGAGCCCCATGCTGCCCGAAGTGGCTCTCGCG